TATATTGCTACCACGCACCTTGTTTAGCCTGGGCGTACGAGTAGCGGAAGCCTCGTGCATAGTCCCGTCCGTTGGAGTAGCATACCACATCCAGGCCAGGCGGTATGCTCAGCGTGTTGTGGGTGTGGAAGTTGCCTCCAAACACACCCTTGTCAAATCCTGTGGCAGAGAAGAAATAAATAACGAGCGTAAGCGACAAGGGGCGACATTGGTCCATAAAGGTGAGAGTGGCTATGATCTATTCGGACTATGCGTGACATAGCGGACATGTATATACTCTCATTATATATATACTCATTGATATATACTCTTCAATACATGTGCTCTCACACGTTATAAATACTCTTTCATTGAAAATACACTTGTAGTTTCCAATACGAAACAGAAGCGCAAGGGCTTGCCGAGGGGTGGGAGGGTTGGAGGTGATTTATGGTTAAGTGGTTTATGACATAGTATCGTCACACAAACAGACACGCACAAGAACAACCAAAAACTAGAAACATACAGTGACTATACATTTAATCTACCCGGCAATCTCCCACCATCGTGGATAGCGATTAGGAATCATAACCTGCCTAAGAATCATAACCATAACAACTAAAATACCATAACCTGATACCTTGCCCTCGTATATCTCACAACCATACACAGCAACTGCAATTGCAATTTATAATTAAAATCGAAATACTTGAAATCAGTGCCTTGTTCTCGAATTTCTCAGAGCCTTATAGCGCAAGTGCAACTACAATTTAAAACTAAATCAAGGTACTTTAACTCCCTACATTGCACTCGTATACCTACAATTTCAAATTAAAGTTAAATTTCAAACAAACACCTTAACCCCATACCTTGCACTCGTATACCTACAATGTTAAACTAAAGTTAAGTTTAAAATCATCTTAACCCCATACCTTGCATTCGCACTCGTATACTTACATTGTTAAATTAAAGTCAGATGTAAAACACCTTAACCCTATACCTTGCAGTCGAATGATCATGCCGTTGGGTTGTGTGCCGTGGCTGAGCCAGTTGTTGATGCACGCTTCATAGAACATGTCTGCGCCACAGTCCAAGTACTTCGCATAAGGTATCTCGACAATGGGGGTTAGGCCAGACTGAGCGTAGCCGATGCCAACGCCCAGCAACCCCGTCTCATCCGGAGGGAAGTCACGCACACTGCGGGTATGGGAATAAGAGATGGCAGACACACAACGAGACGTCAGAGGGGGTGGATAAGGGATGGCAGACACACAACGAGACGTCAGAGGGGGTGGATAAGGGATGGCAGACACACAACGAGA